CTCCCGTTTCCTTTCCTCCTCTCCTCCCCTTTTCTCCCCTCTTCTCCTCTCTCCTCCTCTCTTCTACCCTCCCCTCTTTTTCCATTTCCTCTCCTTCAGCCTCCTCCCCTCTTCTCCTTTCCCTCCACTCTCTTCTCTCTTCTCTCCTTCCCTTTCCTCCTCTCATCTCCCTCCTCTTGTCCTCTCCTTTCCTCTCATCTCCTCCCTTTCCCTCTTCTCTCATTTCCTTCCCTCTTCATCGTTCTTCTCTCCTCTCCTTGTCACCTTTCCTCCCCTTTACTTCCTCTCTTCTCTCTCCATACCATCCTCTCCTTGAATCCCTTTTTCCTCTCCTCCTCTCTCATCTCTTCTTTCTTCTTCCTCCTCATCTCCTCTCTTCTCCTTCCTCTTCTCCTCCCCATTCCTTTCATCTCCTCCCTTCCCCTCTTATCTCCTCTCCTCACCTTTCCTTGCCTGTCTTCTCTCTCCTCTCTTCCCCTTTCCTCCTCCTCTTCTCTTCTTTCCTAAAAGTAAAAAAAAGTCTCCTCTCCTCTTTTCTGTGTCCTCTCCTCTCCTCGAATTGAACCACATTTCACCGTCTCCCCTGAAAACAAGATAATACCCTAATTGGTGAAGTCACACATTTATGAATGTAAATGCGTTTTATGTCTCCCTTTTAGGCAGCAGTTTTACAGTTATCATGTGATTCCTCCTGGCTGGCTGCTGACAGCATTTAAAAACACAGAAAACGAAATGGGAACACAGAAACATCCCAATTATTTTCCAAAGACCGAGCTCGTGCTCAGTCTTGAGTCTCACAGATGGAGATAATGCACACAAACACACAGTGTTGTTTTTGCCCACAGTTCCAGCGATACTGGAAGTGTACGTCGGGGAAAGAGTGTGGTGCTTATCATAAATTCATTAGCGCTCTTTGATGTCTATGATGCTGTTAATGTGTGATTGTGTGTGCTCATGGATTTGATGTTTAGTAAAACTTTCAGCGAGCCCACAACAGTTAGGTCACAGTACTCGAAGCCACGCTGCCTTTTACATTGGCCACATTCTCAGGCTGGCAATTTTTAACAACTTGCCCCCTTGAATTTGAAGCGTTTTGTCTAAACACAGTCAAAACAAGCATAAATGATTATTTTTTATTAAGTGGATAAACTATTCTGACAATGTAATTACAAGTTATTTTACTGCCATGCTGTAATTAACACTTCATCTTAAACATCATCACCCCTAGCGTCACACCTTATTGTAATGTGCATTTACATTTACACTTAATTTCAGAGCAGGCGAGGGAAAAAGTGTGTACTAATGGCACGCAACTGGATAAAGATAAACTGTGTTAGAATAATCAGTCCCCGTGTGTGTGTGTGTGTGTGTGCGCGCGTGCGTGTCTGATGTATAAATCCTTAGAACCAAAGTAAGCTTTAATTAATAGCGCTTGATGATCAGCAGGCAAAGGCAAACAGCAACTAAACGAGCTTGTCCCCCCCGTCAGCAAGGATAATTGCATTTCACCAACAGATTCATGTGGCAGACACACTGCCGTTGCAGGGTACTGCTGATGAGTGTCATTTTTTTTCCCTTTTTAGATTTTTTTAGTGTTTTATGCTTGCAAAAGTCCCATGTATTTCTCAAGGGAGACTCCCTTGAGCCTTTCTTTTGTGTTTTTTTGTTTTATTTTGGATGTCAGCTGGGTTAGAGCACAGTAGTGTTAATACTCATGAGAATAGGTGGATGTGAAGGTGCTATAACAGCCTCTCCCTACATCTCTCACTATGTCTCACACCCTTCTTTTCCCCCATAGCCTCTTTCCGTCTTCTCTCCTTCCTTTCTGTCTCCTTTTCTATTAATAATAACTGCTGAATAAAGTTGTCTGGGAATTTCAGAGGAACACTTTGTTATGGCCATCCCTCCTGCTAGGTAAATGAGAGATGGGAGCTCCAGTGCTGTTCCATGTGTGAGATTAATTTGCAGCTCCCCTTTATTTTTAGGGGAACATTATGGGCTCACTGCCCTGTCATTACTCCCCAAGTAGCAGCAGCAGCTTCCAGCTCCTTTCACTAACCCTCTCCCTCTCTGCGGTTTCTCTCTCTTACACCTGCTTTCTCTTTAGTGGGTGGGCACAATAACAGAAACCCCTTTCACTGCAATTGCCCTGCTGCAAATACCAATTTGGTGAATGTGGTAATGTTATTTTTTTTCCAGACTCCCCAGTGTGTTGATTGTACCTCACACCACACTTTGCTTTTGCAAAAGAGTTTTTGGGGGTTTAGATACTTACCGTAACATCTTTATAACGTGTCACTGAATTTGTATTGACTGCAGGGTATTTTGCATGTTTCTATTATTATTATTTCCCTGTCCCTGTCTCTCTCTTCACCCTCGTGCCTTACGCCTGTGTCATCGCTGTGGTAATGATCACTCTTTGACTCACACTCCTCCGTGCAGAAACACACACATTTGAACACACGCGTCACCTTTTCTATCTCTGTATCAGTTTTTATTCCTCTCATCATCCTCTCTGGTCCTCTTATCATGTGTGGAGAGGCTGTCTGCTCTGTTCTTTCTCTCTCTGCCTGCCAGGAGATGGAGGGGAGATTGGTGAGATTGCAGAGGGGTTGCGTTTTGACACCGCCACAACTTGTGATTGCTTAGATATGAACCTGAGATGAGATCTTTGGCTGGATACTGTCAGGCAGCACCACCGTTTATGGGTGCAAGCGTTCATCGTGATCATAGTAAAACAGCATCTTAAAGCTGTAGTTAGTAACTTTGATCAAAATAAGTTTGTGTCACTTGCTGACACTGTCACTATATCCACACAGAAGCACATTTGACAGATGATCTGTGTAAACCTTTGCCCCCTTGAATTGCTTTTAATGGCACTACGGCACATGAACGAAAGCAACCAATCAGAGCTGAGGAGTCTCTAAGGCAGCTGTCAATCATTGCTTGTGAACTGCATGGTCAAACTAGGTCAAACATCAAGTATGACTCAAGATTCTGTCACTGCTTTGCCTTTTTCTTGCCTCAAGTGTTTCCAAGAACATATTTTAGTGTACTGTTTAGCTGTAAGCTGAGAAATTTGGTGCAGCTAGTGGGCGGTGGTTTGTGCAGCAAACATGGCAGCCATGTCAAAAACTTTATCATTTTACAGCTTAGCTCATGAGTGATGATTGACATGATTGGCAGCTGCTTTAAAGACTCTTTGGCTCTGATTGGTTGTTGTCTGTGAGCCACGGTAAATTTTAACAAATGCCGCTGGAGGCAATAGGAGTAGAGGGGACATGATTTTTTTCACAGACTCTCTGACTTGTTGATGTAGTGATAGTTTCAGCAAATATGATCATAAAACGTATCAATTGTAGCTGTAAGACAAAGACTCTTTAAGATAAATGGAATTTTATGCTATAATGAGTAAAGAGAAAATTTGTGAAAAAAGTAATTGCGTATTTTTAGTTATTTCAAGAAACTTTTTGGTGCTGTGCTATGTAAATATTGGAATTTTTCTTATTTATTTTTTATACACTGTTGTATCTTTTGCTTTGAGCTAAAACACAAGCATGACATTGCTCAGTAAACCTGTCTGTTTTGCTGATGGAGATTTGCATTAAGTCTGACAAACAAACTCAAGCATATCTTTGATGTGAGTGACACATCAAACATTTTCCTGTCTTCACCCTGTACCTCTCACACAACAGCATGAAGACTTATGAATTGAATTTGAAAAGAAAGGATGTTGGTATTGCTTGTACTATTTTTACATACTGCTAGATTGTACTGCAAACACCATGCACAATACGTATTTTGATCAAAATACTACCTTAATCACAACTGCAATCCCTCTATTTAGGGTTGAATTTAGGTTGAACGCACCAGCTTCCAGTGCTTAATGTTATTTGGATTAGCAGGGCTTTCATTCACGTGAGTGTGTGGATACTACGCAGGTGAACACCACTCCTCATAACACACAGTTTGTCATTGGAGAGGCCTAATGAGTGGGAACACACAGGGGACCACCATGTTTACAGGAAATGCTGTCATTTCCCTTTGATAATCTGAGCTGGTGTGTGTGGTACTGTGTGCTGGGTGCATTGACAGTATAGATGTAACAGTTCTGCCCACCACGTGCAAAATGTTCATTAAATTAGCATGGTTTTACACATGTGTGTGTGTGTGTGTGTGTGTGTGTGTGCCTGTCTGCTACGGCTGTATGTGTAATGCTGAGACTTTGCAAATGACCCAAGGACTATAGGGATGCTTATTTCTGCAACCACTTGCATTTCCTCCCTAATTGTTCCTCCTCTGCCCATAAACCTACTTTGTGTGTGTGCAAGCTTCTGTGTGTGTGTGTCTCTGTGTGTATGTGTGTGTGTGTGTGTAGGTATGTTAAAAAGAAAAAGAAGGTCCTTTTCTCTCTGCTAGCAGTGTCAGCAGGTGAGCTGCCCTATTGGGAGAAAAGAGAGAAATTGCCAAAGCATGCAAATTGCTACTCCAAGGGGAGAATCAATTAGGTGCATAGTGGCTGGAGCAGAAAGGCAAGGAGGGGTGTTGAGAGGTAGGGGTCCATGCAGAGAGATGGTGCAGAGCCATGCTGATCACCTCCTCTGAGACGATGCATTACTCCTCCTCTCCTGTCCCCTTCCTCAATCCATAGACTGATCCTATTGGCTGAAGCTGTCTCTACACTCTGCCTTTTAAACCTCTACTGTGCCTCAGCCTCATTCCTTTTTCTGTCTAGCCCATTTCTTTTCTAATTATAGATTGTGCTACAATCTCAAGTGTGTGCCCTCTTCACCTGTTTTCCTCATTATTCTTTGCAAAGATGCTCTGTTCTAATCTGTGCCAGATAAAATTAGAACATAGATCACATCATACAGTCTTCATATGCATAATGTATATCCATCAATACCGTGTGACAGTTTCCTTGAATGTGTGTTAATATTTGGTTTATGTTCATGATGCTGTTTTTGACTGAGTTTTGTCTCTTCACTCTTTAGGTACATAATGTCCTCCATCTCGAGAGAGGCTTGATCCCGATTGGCCGACAGTATTGGACTGTGCCTCCTTCCCTCTCCTCACCACTCCCAGCCTCAGAACAGCCATGACGTCCCTCACCAGGACATGGACCTGCTTTTTTGTATGCTGCTTCCTGTCCAGTCTGGCGCTTCCTGTGACATCACAAACAGTGGTGCAAGCCCCACAGGCTCACAGTGCCGGCTCCCAAGTGATCACAGCATCCCTTCAGGAGGAGGAGTATGCATCATTTCGTGCTGAGAACCCTGAGTGGACATTTAACCATCTGGCAGTGGACTATCGCAATGGCAATGTTTATTTGGGAGCAGTCAATCGCATATACAAACTGTCCCCGGGCCTGGAGGTCCAGGTGTCCCACGAGACCGGCCCGGATGAAGACAACCGCAAGTGCTACCCACCACGTATTGTCCAGCCCTGCAGTGAGCCACTTACACTCACCAACAATGTCAACAAGATGCTTCTGATGGACTATCGGGAGAACCGGCTGCTGGCTTGTGGCAGCCTTTACCAGGGCATCTGCAAACTCCTCCGTCTAGATGACCTTTTCAAACTGGGAGAGCCCTTCCACAAGAAGGAGCACTACCTCTCAGGTGTCAATGAGAGTGGCTCTGTGTTTGGTGTTATTGTATCATATGGAAATGCCTCTCCAGACATGCTCTTTGTAGCCACGGCAGTGGATGGCAAACCAGAGTACTTCCCTACCATCTCTAGCCGCAAATTGGCCAGAAACTCGGAGGAGGATGGCATGTTTGCTTATGTCTTCCATGACGAGTTTGTGGCCTCTATGATTAAGATTCCTTCAGACACCTTCACTGTCATCCCAGACTTTGACATATACTACATTTATGGCTTTGCCAGTGGGAACTTTGTCTATTTCCTGACTTTGCAGCCTGAAATGGGGGGTGGGCCAACCACTGGATCCTCCTCTACCGGTCGGGAGCAGGTCTACACCTCCAAGATAGTCCGCCTCTGCAAGGCAGACACCGCCTTTAACTCCTATGTGGAGGTGCCTATTGGATGCATTAGCGGCAACGTGGAGTACCGATTACTCGAGGCGGCCTACCTGTCCAAAGCTGGTGCTATCCTGGCACGCTCACTAGATGTGGCACCGGATGATGACGTTTTGTTCGCCGTCTTCTCAAAAGGCCAAAAGAGGCGTCCACGCCAGGCTTCACAGGACTCTGCACTGTGTGTCTTCTCTCTGCGGAAGATCAATGAAAAAATCAAGGAGAGGCTGCAGTCGTGCTACAAGGGTGAGGGCACACTGGACCTGGCTTGGCTCAAAGTCAAGGATATTCCCTGCAGCAGTGCGGTAAGTACTACAAGACATTTTGTGACTTTGAGCCACATTTATGCAGACACAAGTTTAATGGCAGCACTGGGGAAATATACACCTCATTGGTAGTCCTTTTTTTTTAAAAAAAAATCCACACATACTTTGCATGCACAAGTACACACATTCTCTGCTATAACATTAAATACTGTGCTCCTAATCTGCCAGAACAGCAGGCATCAAGCAGTCCTCTTAAAGCAGCATTTATCAAACCCATTTAGGAAAAGGGTATTTTATGAGACTGCATTAAGAAAAACTAAACACTTATGATTTCTTATTGTTGTAATGGATTTTTACTGAGGGACATTGCAGGTGAGGCTCTCTGGAGGAAAATCAGTTGTGAAGGCTCTTCCAATGCAACAATAATGAGCCTGGGTGCACTGCGGGGGGCCTCGATGAACACTGTGTTCTTGGGTGGGTTCATGCTCCATCCCATTATGATGTGATATTAACCATCCACTGCCTCTTTTAATCCGCTCACCCTTTAAACAATGCAGCTGAATGCTCAGCCAAATTACCATAATTCCATTCTCCATAACAGCATTACAAATTCAGTGATTCAGTTCATTTGATTTCTCACTTTGTGCACATAAAAAACAAGGTTAAATTGGGTGTTACATGTTTAGACCACCTTCACAAGCAGCCAAAGCTGTTTCATGCGTTTTCTTTCTTGATCTCATTATGTTATTAATAAAAGCTGCCAACCTCAAGAAATACAGTTTTACCATGATCAGAGTGCATTTGTTAGTTATCATGTTCCTCTACATGAAACATGCTCACTTGCAAATGTTGAATTCAGAGAGGTGTAGCTAGTGGGTGAGAATAAATCTCTGAAGAGGTTTGTTTTCACTATATAGATCAGTAAAAGGTGTATCGTTACAGATGAATGGTCGAACATTTTTGCGTTGGAATTTTTTGGTATATTTTTTATAACTTTGTTGATAAATTAATGAAGCTACATGTACGTATTTACAACAAAATTAAATGCATTCGACCTCCATTATCAACACTGTGCAGCATTTCTGTTATGAAAGGTCAGGGTTTCCCATTCATTCATTTACTCGTGGCCTGTTTATTGGGAGCACTGTTGGAATGTATATACAGTTCTGTTATTCATAGCACCACGTGCTGAAGCAATGCGTACTCTGGGCACAGGTGGGGCAGCAGGATGCCAAGCATAGTGAAAGTGAAACTTGACTATTTGTTATTTTATATAGAAATAGAACACTCAATTTCTTAGAACAACAGTGCTCTAGTTTTAGTGTTGTCCATTGTTTTTTCAACCTACTTTAGATGAAGTATGGGAAGTGTGTACCCTGAGGTCCAGGGCAGGATCTAAAAGTTTGCTTTCACTCCCCTCTGCAGCAGCTGCTTCTCTAATCCATCAATATGATCTGATCAGATCAGTGATAAGCTGATAAACTCAAACTCAACAAACTGCTCTCGAGAGTTAAAAAAAAAAAAAGTAAGAGTTTTGGCAATGCTACATTTACTGACCCTCAACACCTCTGAATTCAGAGATGGGACAAGGAATGATCACAAAGGGACACACAAAAACAACAAAAAGGCAGAACGTTAGCTAAACTGTTGTCATTGTCGTCACCCCCTTCTGTCGTCAGCTTCCACCTCACATATGTCTAATTCTGTGGGAAACACTAAAGGTGCTTTAAAAATAATATTCATTATTATTAAGTCAAGCCAAGTTTATTTAGAGCACATTTTAAATGACAGGCGTAGACTCAGTGTACTTTAAATAAAAAGCAAAAAAATAGACAAAGATCATACATGACAACAAACATAAGATATGTTTAATAACATTTAAGATAAGAACATATCACATATATAAAATATATAAGATAAAAAAACTTAGAAAAGGATACTGATGGAACGAAAGCACTGGTGAGCAAAAATACATTTTTTTTACCAAGGAATATAATCAATGGAACGACGAATAGTATCTTCCTCACTCAAGTTAGTCATCTGCTTTATCTACAAGAGCGACAGATGAGAATTTATACAGCCACAAATACTTCTAACAAGAATTTGATTGCTTGCTCATGGTCATATTTCAGCAACATAAATTTGATCCTCTTACTGCGCCTCAGTCCATATTGTTCTGACCTTAGCCATACACTATCTGCAAGGCATTATGAAGTTGACCCTCTCTTGTGTTTGGTTCTGGAATCACAGTGTTTATCTATTAATCCGTCTCTGGCACGGCACACGTGCCGGGGCGCCTTTGTCTGCTGCTTGAGGGCCTGATAAATCATGCCTGGGGTGGAGCTGTCAGCAGGGAGAGGAAGTGTGAGGGAGCACACAGGGGTTAGCGCTGAGGAATGATGCCATTTCAGCATGCGCCACACTATCGCCACCGCCACCGCATAAATTAGACCCCGCTGAACAAGTGACAGTGGACTCTGCAGGAGATAGATGAGTTGTGACACACATACACACGCGCGTGCACATGTGCCACCACACTTGTAAATATGGCTATTGCAGAGATGGAGAGGCAGAGAGAGGCTTTTGATGAAGTAGAATAATAGCAATAAATAAATTTTTATATGAAAGTAATTTGTTAGAATGTAGATCAGATCATTCTCGGCTGCTTTAGAGTGGAGTTGATGTTACAGCCATAAAAAAGGAGTTATATTTAAATACATGCACACATAAATCAGGGGCCTATTGCTAGAGCATTAGTAAATTAGTAGATGTAAATAAGGGCCGTATATATTTCCGATGAGTGTTCTCACAATGAGACCATGTTAAAATAAAGAGTTGTGGGCAAATACAACTCTCATCTGGTGTGTGTCTGTGATGGATGGTTGGTGTCTCTAATATCCCATGGTTGATTTTTTATGAATCGTTGGTTGTTAGTCACTGATTAATTCCTTTGCCGCTTTAAATGATGCATGACTGGGAGCACCATGTCTCTCTGATATCATCACAAATGTAGTTTAAACTCATCATTCACATCCTCTCCTTTCTGCGTTTCCCTTCGGCGTAGAGCGCCAACATAGACACACACATGCTCGTAATCTCTTGAACACACCAAACAAGGTTGCTCAGAACATTTTGGAAGTCAGAGTGCTTTTTGGTTCCTGCGCTTACAAGACACTCTAATTGAGGAATCACACAACCATATAAATATCAAATAAGGGTCCTACTCACTTTCGTACAGCTCTTACTCTTGCTTTTTGGCTCTAATTTTTTCCTGCAAAAATGTTCAAGACTCAATAAAAATGTCTTTTGAATCAAAGATAGGATTTAGACTGATGAAGATTGTAAAAAATACGGCCAGTGCAAAGTGTGGTTTAAAGGTTTTTATTTTTTAACTTACTCAAAGGCACTCTGGCCCATATTAGCAGCTCATTATCATTTCTTTCCATGTTTCTTTCCACTTTGTAGTATTGGAGGCATTTTGTGAGCTTGCAGCTTTGCAAGAGGACCTTTTTTTATTGTAAATGACAGTGGTTAGTGTTCACTTGGAGCAGGAAACAACCATTTTTGGATGTGCCTGCAATACAGTCAGCTCAAAGGGAGAGTTTGAGTCTTTAGAAGTGGGGTTGTATGAGGGACCAAAGTCCGTGTGTTATATACAGTAGATGGTGGTTGGCACGCCCCCAGTTTGGAGAATCGGGCAGGAATACCACCATGGAAGCTAAGCAATGAACTGCTGTGGATGGGGGGCAACAGCAAAGCGTATTTAAGCCACCTAACAAAAGGTCTACCAATTTTTTTAAGCTATTTTTTGGGGATTATAGGCCTTTAATCACAGGATAGCAGAGGCGTAAAATGGGAGAGAGGGGATGACATACAGCAAAGGGCCATGGGCTGGAGTCGAGCCTGCAGCCGCTGCAGTAAGTAATCATTGCCTTTGTACATGGGGAGCCTGCTCTACACACTTAGCCACTGGACACCTGCTGTTCTACCACTGCCAAGGTTGGTTGGTTAGTTTGTGTTATTGTGTGACTTTGGTGACTCTGAACTAAACATTTAAAATGCCAAAGTCACGCAATAACACAAACGAAATAACTGATCGAGGCAGCTTATGTGTTCAGTGATTTTACTGGTTTTCTCAATGGAGTCTGACTTTCAAGGGAGTGACATAACAGCTGTCAAATTGCTGTCTGACAGCAAGGGAAAGCAGTGAAAGTATTCTAAATATAGTGTACACTTAAACTGATATGGTACTTTAAATTTGGGCCTTTCTTTAGCTGGCTAAAATAAGTTTTGGCGCTGCCCACGTCCAGAATACCACATTGTCTGCTTCTGTAAACTAGGGATATGCTGACTGACATCTACTGACAAGAAAATTCCTTGTAAAAGACCAAATCCATTGAATTGACTGAAACATTTTTTATTTTGAGATGTGAATATTTTGAAACGAGGAATAATCAAATCATAGTTGAAGGACACTGGCCTGGGTAGGACAGTATAAACACTTACTTCTGTCAGACCTTTTGCTTTACACCGTTTTTAAAAGGCTTTCAGCCAGAGTGGGAGAGATGAAAAGAGGGAGAAGTTGAGAAGAAAAAGTATGAACATAGAGTGGTGTGATGGGCGAGTAGAGCAGTAGAGAGGATAGATGGTGAGAGAGTAAGTGAGGGGGGGATGCTTCCTCTCTCCCCCAAATGGCCATGCTTGGCTGAGCCACATAATGCGTGCTCAACAATATAAGTCTGCAAAGGGCCTGCCTCCATAGATCATTGTGAAGTGGCATGTGACCTATAAAAAAATGCTGCCTGCTCCCTCCATGTTCACTGTGTCAGCAGAAAAAAAAAACAGAACAACAAAACAGCGGGATCGCAATAAATTCACTCTGTGCTCTCTTCTCTCTCATCCTTGATTCATTGCGCACTGTCTGTGCCGCTCTTTTCTCCTTCTGCCTGTCCCTCTCTTCATGTTCTTATAAAAACAGATGCCACCATCCCCTCTTCTCATTTTCCTTTCCACTTCCCGTCTTTGATTCTGTCCCTCTT